TTGATAATCGATTATCCATCGTCTTCTACCTCGAGCCAACTTGCGGAAATGTCACTTTTACTCACCAAACTTCAATTAAAGTATATAAAAATGTTCTCCAAGGTTTATGGATCATTTTAGCATCATTAATTCATAATTTTAACATCAATTTCATGGTTTATGATTCTTAGTTCTTCAAGTATGTCAAACACAAAACTCAACCAAATGACCATTTATGAACGTAGAAACGACCTATATGAACATTCTAGTCATTAGATATATCTAGGGGCTTACCTCGAAGCTTAATGGAGGTTTTGGAATTTTTCCGGCGAAACTTTCGGCGAACACCACAGCTTGCTCCGGCAACTTGACACCAAATTGGTAGTACTGAAACGCTCCTCACACTCAGCTCCTTCTATTGGGATAAGGATGATGAAAAATGGTAGAAAAATTGGGGGTTTATAGTAGAGGGTTAGTAGAAGAAGCCATGGGTGTCCTTGTTCCCTGTTCCAGCGGCTGAGTGGAGCAAACGGCGATCTTTTACGGGTTTTAAACGTAAGTCCCTGATTGGGACTAATTTTGGTCCCAGTCGGGTACACTTTTTGGTCCAACTTTCTCCAAATTAAAATCCGACTGAACCGTTGCGGTCAGACAGTCAAACTCTACATAACGATATAATTTTTATTATTTATTGACAAACTTTATAATTCATATATTTTTGGGTCCTTCTAAGTAATTAATTAATTATCAATTAATTAATTCTGATAGGCCTATTTTTGGGGCGTTACATTTCTCTTCCCCTTAAATTAATTTCGTCCTCGAAATTACCTAAGTCATTGATTGAAGAGGTTTGGATATTGCATCCTCATTGATTCTTCGGTTTCCCATGTTGCCTCTTCAGTCGAGTGATTCCTCCATAGTACTTTGACTAGAGGTACGGATTTGTTCCTCAATTGTTTGAACTCTCGTGCCAGAATTTGTACAGGTTCCTCCTCATAAGTTAATTGTTCATCAAGAGTTACGATTCCCTCGGTCAAGATATGCGATGGATCGGAACGATATCTTTTCAACATTGATACATGGAATACGTCATGGATCTTGTTAAGGTTTGGTGGAAGTTCTAACCGATCGGCTACTGGACCCACACGTTCAGTGATTCGATAGGGTCCAATATATCTTGGACTTAGTTTTCCCTTCCTGCCGAACCGTAACACTTTTTTCCACGGTGAGACTTTCAGAAACACCTTGTCATCAACATTGTATTCGATCTCCCGACGTTTTAAATCGGCATAAGATTTTTGTCGATCAGAAGCTACTTGCAGTCGTTCTCTAATTAGACGAACCTTTTCTTCAGTTTCGCGGACGAGATCAAGTCCTTCAAGCTTTTGCTCACTTAATTCTGTCCAGCATACCGGGGTTCTACAACGTCTCCCATACAAGGCTTCATACGGGGCCATTTGGATACTCGCTTGATAACTATTGTTATAAGCAAATTCCATTAGTGGTAAGTATTGTTCCCAGTTGGTTCCAAAATCTATTACACATTCCCTCATCATATCTTCCAGAATTTGAATTGTTCTTTCAGATTGTCCGTCAGTTTGAGGATGAAATGCCGTACTAAAGTTAAGTTTAGTACCTAAGGTTTTCTGTAAACTCTTCCAGAATTGTGACGTGAATCGCGGGTCACGATCAGAAATGATTGAAAAAGGTATACCATGTAGTCTTACGATCTCACGGATGTACAATTCTGCCAATTTCTTCAAAGACATATCACGTCGAATCGGGATAAAATGAGATGACTTGGTTAATCGATCAACAATTACCCAGACAGCGTCATTTTTCTTAGCTGATAATGGAAGTCCGATCACAAAGTCCATCGTAATTCGTTCCCACTTCCATTCAGGGATAGTAGGTGGATGTAACAACCCACTAGGCACTTGGTGTTCAGCCTTGACTTGTTGACATGTCAGACATCGTGTTGTAAATTCAGAAATTTCCCGCTTCATTGTGGGCCACCAATATGTCTTCTTCAGATCTTGGAACATTTTATTACTACCAGGATGCATGGTATAAGTGGTTTCGTGAGATTCACGCATTAAACGTTCCCTCACTTCGCCACTAGGAACTACCAAA